AATTAGCTCCTATTGTCACAGAAATTTTTAACATGTCACTAAAAACTAGCAAAGTACCTCAGAAATGGAAATCCGCTAATTTATTACCACTCCCTAAAGAATCACCATTAAATTCGTGCAACCAGTTAAGACCAATCTCTCTGACGGACATCATCATGAGACTATTCGAGAAGTGTGTGTATAAATCTGAAATCGAACCTATCACAAGAAATAACATTGGTCCTGACCAATTTGCTTATAAAAAGGGTCACAACTCGACTATGGCTCTGATTAAATCCCAACATCAATGGCTAGAGTGGCTGGATAAAAACGCTAATTATGTTAGAGTGCTGTCGTTCGATTTCAGCAAAGCATTTGACAGTGTGCCCCACGACCTTTTGTTTGAAAAAGTTAAAAAGCTACCCATTAATCCGTATGTGGTGAACTGGTTAATTAGCTTTCTAGAAAATAGAATACAAAGAGTAATGGTTGATGGAATGGTTACAGAATATTTATATATTAATCGTGGTGTCCCTCAAAGTACTGTTTTAGGCCCAGTTCTTTTCTCAATAATGGTTGATGATATTAAAACTGCTGATCCTAGTAATGCGTTAGTCAAATTTGCTGACGATTTGACGTTAGGAGTGCCTGGCAACGAAAGTGGTGACATATCTCGATCTGAAGCTGCCTGTTTACAGGATTGGGCGGAAGAGAATAGAATGCCCTTAAACTTGGAAAAAACGTACGAAATGGTTGTTCGCAGACACACCTCTGTAGTTTTGCCCGAGCTTATCCCTTCAATTAAGCGAAAAACATGGCTAAAGCTTTTAGGAGTTACTCTACAAGATAACCCGTGCAACTGGGATTTGCACTTTGAAGAAATGCTCAAAAAAGCAAGTGGACGAATGTATATTATGAGAGTTTGCAAATACTATGGACTATCAATTAAACAATTAGATCTGCTGTTTGATAGCCTAATTATGTCGATATTCACTTTTGCTATTGAGCTGTGGGGTTGTGCATACGACGGTAAATATTTGAACCAAATAGATAAATTCATTAAACGTGCACATAAGAATGGTTATATATCAAAACGAACACACATTAAAGAACTACGTGATAAGAGAGATAAGAAACTGTGGAACAAAATAACATCAACTGAGGACAATGCATTGCTTGAACTGCTGCCGGAAAAAAGAAGTAGGTTACTTAGGCCAAGAGGGCATGAGTATGAACTCCCCCTAGTGAGAACAGAAAGATTCAAAAGGTCGTTCATAAATCGTTGTCTGTATAACTTTGTTTAGACTTTAACCTATTAAAAACTTTTTAAAACTTTTTACGCTTCTTAACTTACAATTGTAAATATAACTAGATCAATTACCTTTCGATTGTAAACTCAGACGGATGTATCTGAGTATTTTAATAAAGACTATTATTATTATTATTATTATTATTATTATACAGAAAGGAAGACTTGTGAGGACTTGAAAACTTGCCTTGCGAAGCCAAATGTGAATGATCTTGAGCTGTTAACGCTCAACGTTTTTATATAATAGGCCCAAGATGCACGTGAAGCGTGACACGGAAATTCACTGATGTGTTGCAAAATTCCACGGGAAATAAAACTGGTTGAACGAGTTTCCCTGCGACGTTCCCTCCATAACCCCCATTTTGCGTGCTACCCCGAATCCCTAAATATCCCTACAAAATTCCCACGGAAGCAATAAATTGATTATTCGCTGAAGCAAATAACTCCTAAATGAGATTGATCCTGTTTTAACAACAATAAATGTATTCCATACCTGTCGTAACGTTACGTCCTGTTACGAGTTCAAACAGAAGAAAGGACATTTCGCTAGCACGTAATAAAATAAATACATCAGAAAGACATTGAAGTAGCCTTTTTACCGAAAGCTAGCTAAAAACGATTCAATCGTAGATAATCTAATTCTTATTTGATTTAGTTGATCATAATGTCATTATCACTGACTTTGAAATGCTTGGCATCCATCGTGATTGTGCGCTAGATTAAATCATTCTTAACAGTGTTAGGGTTGGAAACTGTAACTCGTCCTGGATGAAAACTAATGGAGGGTTACCACAGGGACTAAATTAGGACCCTTACTATTCGCAATAATGGTTAACACTTTATTAAAAGATTGGCAAGGCAGGATTAAGTATGTCGATGACACTTCAGAACTTCGTCCTTCGGGGCTCACCAAGCTTACTGCCCATGCATCGTTGTCAATGAAATTTTTGATTTTACTGTTTTACGTGGGATGAAGTTAAACCCAAAGAAATGTAAAGAAATAGTTGTGTCATCCTTAAATATGACTTGCAGTCTATAGATTCGATATATATTTCTGGAAAACCGGCTGAAAGATTAGGGGTTATCATCTCGCAAGATCTTACCTGGAACAGACACGTGGTTTATATTGTCAAAAAAGCCAATTCCCGTCTTTATGCCTTTGAGACAATTAAAAAAAGCTGGTTTAGCTCAACATGATCTTCTTAAAATTTATTGCTCTTTGGTTAGGTCTTAACCCAAAATTTAACAAATTTAATCGAGTCTGTTTAAAACCGAGCGTTACGGGTTATCTGTCCTTCTCTTGCTTAACTCGTCAAAACGCGGTGATGTTTGTTGAGAAAATTAAGTCTGCCGATCAACTAAATGACCCTGTTGCGTACATTCTGAGGTATAATGGACGTGAACATAGTTATAACTTAGATTTGAGGGAACGTTTTTCACAGTTCATTACACATACCGCACATATTATTGATGTTCCTTAGTCACTGTACTATTGTAGGTTTTATTTCGTATTTTATTTAATATTGTTCAATAGATAACTTCATATTTGTAAATTTCTCAAAGGTCATTGTCATAGCTAGTTTGAGCATGTAATTCAGTTCTGTAACTGCAAAGCGTTTTATTAAACCATTTATTATTATTACTATTAAGTTATTATTATTATTATTATTATTATTATTATTATTATTATTATTATTATTATTATTATTATTATTATTATTATTATTATTATTATTATTAT